TCCTCACTTCTGTAACTGATCAGACTTTTACCGTCCCATCTGCAGATGAAGGGACGGAGGGTCAGAGAAGGGGCGCCACTGGCCCCAGGCCATACGGCCAGCAAGCGGCAATCCTGCGACTTGAACGTGCGTCGGACAGGTCCAGGCGCGGGGCTGCCTGTGGCCACGATCTGGGGTGGGCTGAAGAGGCAGCAGTGCCCTGCGTGGACTGGAGGGGGAAGCAGGTCTCTCCCTCTGGGGAGCTTGCGCTCTACCAGTGGGACGGGTAGTGAGCAAATAATCGTGCTGAGAACTGCAAAATTACAACCGAGGTGAGCGCTGCAGAGGGGAGAGGGGCCCGTGGGGCCACCAGAAAGCTCCTACTGGGGCAAAGTTTCTGAGGGCACCATTATCTTTTGGGACCAGATCATTCACTGTGGGGGTGTCCCATGCACTGAAGGATGTTTAGCAGCATCCCAGGCCGCCATCCATGAGATGCCCGTAGTCTCTTCTCCTTGTTGTGACAACCGAAACGTCTCCAAACCTTATCAAATGTTCCCTGGGGGTCACAACTGCTCCAGAATAAGAATCGCCGTAGTAGGGGGATGATAATGAACGTCACCTGCACGTCTGTACTCTGTAACTTCTGTCACTTAATCATCCCAGTAAAACAAGACAGCGCTTCCACCTTCCCCGCGCCGGGCAAGGTCTGAGGCGCTTCATGCCTCCCGCCATGGAATCCCCGGACCAGCCCAGCAAGGTAAATGGGATTCTTACACTCATTTAACAGCCAAGGAAATGGAGGCACAGAGACCCTGAATCGCTTGTCTAAAGCCACAGGAATTGGCGGCCAAGCTGGGGTGCAGAACATTGTGGAGTCTGCTCTCCAAACACGCCATTACTGCTTCGCAGGCATGAAATGCCCACCCAGCTCTGACGGATTCCTCACTTTGCAGACAGTTGTCAGGACTCCACGTGTGACATGTCCAACTCGTGCTGTGTGTTACTCAGCACGTTTTGACCTGCGAGTTGCTTTCTGGTGCCATAAAACAATCAAAGTCCGAATGATGGAAAATTTAAAAAGTTCATGAGATCTGCAAGGGAACTTTACAAGTATTTTCCCCTTGAACACCCTTCATGCTGTTCAGGACAAACAATACCTCCCGCACCCCATATACCAGGGAAGGAAGAACCTCTTCACTCAGGCACCCACATGGCCCAGAGAGGGAAATAACTTGCCCACAGTCACACAGCAAGTGTGTGACAGAGCCAAGTCCGTCTGCTTCCAGAGCGCTCACTCGTCTCCACATGCGACATTTAAGTGGCACTTAAATGACCGCAGGACTCAGCAGAAGCCATGTCAGGCAGCCCCAGAGGACCCGGGCCCCTGGAGGATTCTGGGAGAGGGCAGCGCCTCAGTGGACCCTCCGGGGCCAAGTAGAGGAGGCCAGGAGACACAGCGGAGGCGAGAAGGAAGTGCGAATCGAACCAGCATTTATTTTTAAAATAGTATTTCTACAAGATGAGCTCAGCAGGGGCCTGTGAGGCCCAGCGCAGACAGAGCGGGTCTGTGCAGACGGGCTGTAAGTGGGGCAGCTGGCATCCTAGCAATACCAGCCCAGGAAGCCGGAGCAGCCCCTCCCCCGGCGTGGAGAGGCTGGGGGCGCTGGGGGGATTATGAAGAAGTGTTTTCGGTGGCCAGGCCTCTCCCTGCCAGCCTCAGAGCATGACGAAGGGGCACTTTTCAGGAAGGTGACGGCAGGGGAGCCGGGTTATTTCGGTAGAGCGGATCAGATGATGGGAGATTTCATACCACAAAATGCTTTTAGAGCTTGGATCAGAGGATAGGAAAGTGTGACTTAAGTGCAATGGAGCAAATAATGAAAAAATAAAAAATAACCACACACACACAAATCTATATTCATCGACACACTCTGCAGCCGAGTGCGCCTCTGATTCACACACCCCTGGCGCCCGGGCAGAGGGCTCTGGCCGCGGGGCTGGCCCAGAGCAGGAGACGACACAGGCCCCGCGGTGCATGAGGGGAAACTGAGGTCCCGGGAGCTTGGAAGCTGCTAGGCAACTCAGGAGGCCCTGCCATGAACCCCGTGCAAACCTGCTGGTATCACCCAGCTCAGCAGCGTGGACCCCACTGTCCCACATCTGTCAAAGGTGCTGGTTGCCAGGCAACTGAGGACAGGAAGCTGACACTTTTTTGCGGGGGGCGGGGGGGCTCAAAAGCTGAAAGAACTCTAACAGCCGCCTGATCTGCCATGTCCCTGCCTCCCTCACTTTTGTCTACAGGCCGCTCAGGCCTCCCTGACTCGCTCAATTCACCAGGCGGGGACTGGCGTGACCGGGCTGTGAGCAGGGGCCCCGGGTGCTCTTGGGCCACGGCGGGCCCTGGGTGCTGCCATGTGGGTGGTCACAGAAATCCCCAGCGCTGGGAGGTTACACCTGGACTCGCCCAGGGCGGTGGCCAGTCACGGCCAGGTAGGCGCCGAGAAGCATCTGTGACAGACGGCGTTCGTCAGGGGCAGAGCGCCTGGGCCACAGGCGGCTCCGCTTCGCTGGCCCACCTCAACCCTCTTGCTTCATCTCTCCTTTACCTAAAAGCCCGAGGGACAGAAGACAGCGGAAGTCCCTGACATGCAGTAGGACTCAGTACAGGTTCACTAAGTAGGTAAAGGAGTGAGTCAGTGTAAGAGTAAAGAGACAAATGAATATGAATGAACAAATGAATGAATGAATGACTTGCGCAGAAAAGGAGCAGGATTCCACGCCCAGGGCTGGGGGCAAAGGTGGCTCGCTCACAAGGTGGCAGCCAGGAGCAGGGGCCCCTCCCACTGCCTGCCCTCACACCCTCCAGCACCCTGTACCTCAGTTTCCCTCCTTCTACAAATGGGACGGCTGCGGGATTAAATGGGAGTGTCCGTGCCACCCTTGACTGCCTGTCCCCTTGGTCCCTCGCCCCTGCCATACTTTGTACCTCCTAGCCAGGCCCCAAGACAGTGGGACCACCTGTGTGCGCGTGCGGAGAGAGAATGAAGGAACAGGGCCGCTGAGCCAGAAAGGCCCACAAGAGCCAGCACATGCCACCTCCCCTGGTCAGCAGCCCCGGCTCCAGACACGAAAACAAGGACAATTGGCTATCCAGGCCCCAGTGAGTCTGAGACAAGCACTTCACTCTGCTTCGGGCAGAAGTCGTCCATAATGCCCCTTTGTTCCTCCGCTCGGCCCTCCTCCCTGCGGTCAGCCAGCTTCCCGGCCTCCCGCTACGGCCAGAATGAAGTCAGCTCGTCTCCCTCGAAAGGAAGGGGTGTGTGTGTGCATGTTTCCCTTACATTTTAATTATGGCTCTTGATTCCTTATAACATGGAAAGGACCCGTTCCAGCCGTGCCGCGGGGAAAGCTGAATCCCTCCGTTGTCCCACCGCACCAACCCTTCCCTGGGGCGTGCAATGCGCAAGCAGGACAGACGTGCCACGCGGGGCCGGGGAGAGGGCGGGCTCCGGAGCACGTGTCCCTGGGGTCGGACCCCAGCTCTGTGACTCTGGCTGGGACAACTGGTCCACCTCTCTGGGCCTCAGTTTCTCTCATCTGTAAAATGGGGCTCACCGTGGGGACCGAGACGCCCTCTGTCCAGCCGCCCGCCCGCCGTACTAAGTGCAGGGAGCCGGTCACTCCCTTTCCCTGTCCCGGCAGCATCGCTAGGAACACTTGTGGAAAAGCACAGCGTGAGGAAATGAATAATGGATCTGAGAGCCATCGGAGCTGGCGGCGGCAGACAGGCTGGAGCCAAGGATGAGGACATGGAGCCTGGCTGGGGGGGAGGGCCGTCTCGGGGTGGGGGGAGCCGATGACTGGGCCCTGGCAGAGAGCGGGTGGGGTGTGGGGCGGCGGGTGTGGAGGTCCCCACCCAGAGGTGTCCCACCTGCCGGACCGCCCAAGCCCACCCTCTAGTGCAGGGGACTGTGAGGACAGGAGTCCTCCCCCAGCCATTTTTATCATGGCTGCAGCCGAAAACTACCTGCCGTTGCCTCAGGAAAAAACCCACCTTGGTTGAGCACCTACTATGTGCCAGGCCTCAGAGGGCGCATCCCTCTGCCTTCTCATTCGGTCCTTGCAAGTGCCTGGGAAAATGAGTGGCCCCCATTCCACAGACGGGGGAAACAGAGCCTCGGGGAGGGGCTGACTTGTCCAAGGTCACACAGCCACCGCGTAGGGTGACAAGAATCCAGGGCTGGGAGGCTGGCGGCAAAGGGCCTTCTCCTTCCAGCGAGAGCACCCTGCTTCACCCCACCCTGCCGGCTGCCCTCGGCCCCCGTCTTCATGCGCAGGCGGCTTCTTTGTACCTTGTTTTCTCGGTTCTGTTACCAAATGTACTGAAGTGAGGGGGCCCCTCAGCCAAGCTGGTGAGGGAGAAGCCGTGCGGCTGTGCGAGTGCGTGCCGGGCGCCCGCTGCGTTCTGATCAGTCTCTGCCCACGTGCCAGAGTCTCTGCCTGAGCCAGGCTTCCGTTCCAACCGGCCGCCCATGTGCAGACCCAGCGGGAGCAATCTGTCCCTGGGACGCAGCCGTCGGGAAGACCTAGCTCTGCTCACACCGGAAGGATCTGAACTGAAGTGTTTTGCGCTAACTGCAGTCCCCCCTCCCTGTACCCCGACCAACTGAGCTGCTCATTTGGGTTTGTTCTGTTCCTCAGATAACGGAAATTGTCTTGGGGGTGGACCAAGGTGGACACTCCTCCTGCTGTTTGCTCATTGTTTGACACCTATTTATCACCCGTCTGTGCTGTCGCTGTCACAGATCTGGAGACCAGAGGGGACAGGGCCCAGCCCTGCTCCCCTGGAGCCATGGTCAAGAGAAGAGAGGCGCTAGGCCTGAGCGCGAGTGAGCCGAGGCGCAGAGAAGGCCGCGCTCCAGCCCGGCTACGAGGCTGCTCTTTCCCCAGCTCACGTGGTCTTGGCAGGCGGAACCTGCTCAGGCTTGTGTCCCCTCGATTCTTTCGGCCACCTCCCCCCATGCCAGGCACCTGCTGCCTTTCGTCTATGACAGATTCCTTCCGGTGCCCGAACAGATGAGCAAAAGGTAATCAGGTAAGAGCAAGAAAACATGCAAACCACAAGTTGGGACAGTTTGCTTTTTTTTTATGGTTTGCACGTGTGTGGCTGTGATTTCATCCCACATGCTCACAACATCACCTTGTTTCCTGCTGTAATTTTTTTTTCCTGATTCCCAGGATGGAAGTCACTGTAGCAAATGATCCTGGTGTCATACCAACAACCTCATGGCTTCTGGGGGCTCTGTGGCTGGACCATCCTTGAGAGCCACTGTTCTGAAAGAGGGAGGAGGGCTTTGGGGTCAAGTTCCTGCCTTGCCCTTTACCGGCTGTGTGATCTCGGATGGGTTTCTTTACCTCTCTGGGCCTCAATGAACTCATATATAAAAGAGGAATGAATCCTCTACCCTGGAGGGTCCTGGGGGTCGGGGGAAGGGGGAGGGAGGTTAAAGAGGAAAGCACTAAGATGCTCCAGCACATAGTAGATGTGCACTAAATGTAGCTACAGCATCAGTTTTCCAAGCAGCTGTCCCACGTATATTTCTGAGCACCAATGTGCTAGCCATGGCCTGTACCACATGCCAGGGACAGAGTTGAATCAGGCCCCGCAACTCTGAGGCACAATCTCAGGTTTGGGGGATTATTTCACTGGCGAGAAGCCCCTCGCAGGCAGCTATCAAGTCTGATTCGGCTGCCCCTGCTGCCCATCGGGAGTGTGTCAGTACTAGCCGGCTCAGTTGGGTACTTTGTGGCTTCTGGCTGTTCCTCCCAAATAGAATAAAACACGCGAAGCCATCTGATCTGTCACCGCGACCCACTTGACAGGAATCTCAGAGACGGGCTTCAGCAAGTGGCAGGGGACAAATGTGCATGCGTGGGAGGGGGCACTTTAAAGGGGATCACCTGCACGTTGTCAAAAACACCATCTGTTTATTCTCTTAGTGGTGGAATTTTCTGGAATAGCACTAAACGGAGGTCTGAGCAAGGGGCCCTGGGCGGCCAGAGGGGAGCCCCGGGCAGTCTGATGGAGACTTCTGGGAGGGGAGGCCCCGCTCTGGTCAGGCTCGGGGTGAGACCCTGCAGGGCCAGCCCTGAACAAGCCGGGCCCTGGATGCTTAGAATCGCCCGCGGGCGGCCCCGGCCGCCTGTCCCCTCCACACCCACAGCCACCCCCGCCGCCGGCTGTGCCCACCCCTCATTCCAGCCCACCCACAGCTGCCTCTGCAGCCGCCCCATGACGACATCCTGGCCTAAGCCCCCTCTTCAGTAGCCTCTCTCAGGAGCTATTTGCAGAGGTCCCTGTTTGGGGTTTGGGGGCTTTGCACGCAAGTGCTTAATTTTAAAGAGAGAGAAAGAGAAGTCCCAGCAGGTGCCCCCCACTTCCGCAGCGGCCCCACCCTGCCTTCCCAGGGCCGCTGGGCGTCTTTGTGCTGTGTGTCTGCGTGCGAACGTCATCCCCACATCTGCTGTCCCGTGACAAGGGCCATTGAAGCTTCACAATGACGCCATCTGCCAGGGACAGCCAGCTGGCTCAAGGCTGACCCTCGTTGCCATGGCAACCAAGATGGCGTCACGGAGGGGGGCCCTTCAGAGAACCCAGCAGGCTAATGATGTCAAGGGGCTCCCTGCAGTGCAGCCCGCACTCAGGTGGAGGTGGACGTGGACAGGGCGGAGGTGGAGGAGGGGCTGGCGGCCAGAGTCGCGGAGGTGTCCATCCTCTGGGGGACCAAGGACGTGCTCCTGCCCTGGGCCTTCTTGGGACGCCCAGCTCTCGGGAGCCCATCCCCATCGAAGCGGGCCACCTGGCTTTCAGGAGACGGGCTCTGTCGGACGCCTCTGCACACACCACTCCCTCTGCTTAGACTCTCTCCCCTTCGCTCAGCCCAGAAAACGTCTCCTTGTCCTTCCAGACCCATCGCAGGGTTTCCCTCAGAGCTTTCCAAAAGGAAGGGACGGTGCCCGCCGCCGTGTCCCGCCGTGCCTGGTGCCCGGCTCCGTCGGCATCCCCGCCGGAGGGGACTGCACCTCTGGGTGCTCGCCGGGAGTAGCCTGGGGGCAGGGATGACGTCTCATTCATCCGTCCTCTCGCCCAGCCAGGGCCTGGCATGTGGCGGATTCTAGCAAACGTTAACTGAATAAATGAAGTCGCTTCATTGCTCAGCCGCCTTGAAAAAACCAGGAACGGCCTCCGAACCTCAGCCATCTGGCACTGCAGGAGCAAATGGGGAGGGGGCGTGAAGGTCCTTCCCCCGCGAGGCGGGGACGCGGGGCTGTGAGGGCTCCCCTGCGCAGAGGCGCCTACTCGTACCTTAGCTTCTGTCTCGTTCTGGGTACGCAGTCCGAGTCCTGGGCTGAGAACCAGCACCAGGACCCGCGGGAGGGAGGGTACAGACCACCGTTCCCCTTTCACAGACTAGGAGATGCAGCCCTGGCTGCGGACATCTGACCTTCCTGCCATTTCGAATGGGAGGCCAGGAAAACGTATACGTGACAGGAATCATGAGTATCAAAGAAAAATGACATCAGCTTGAAGCTGCCCCAAAGACAGGGCTGGGTGGAGGCAGCGGCAAAGAAGGGAAAAGAGAAAAGGCACGAAGGAAAGAAAGAAAAAAACCTAACAATATCGGCAGCTCTGGCGGGAAAACAGACCCGGGAAGAAAAGGATGCGTCTCCCCTGCAAGATTTACACAGAACGGGATCGACCCTGCGAGGAATAATGTCCACAAAACTGAAACATTGGAGAAAGCCACGAACGGCGCATCAAGCCCTATACAGATGTGCCCAAGGAATGAATTTCATGGCATTCCCTTCCGGAAAATGCTTTCTTGATGAACTGCCATCGATCTTGACGTGATGCTGATGACGTCTCTGAACATCAGGGGACCAAAGCCCCCCAAGGACAGCCTGAGCCCCAGGCCCCGTGGGCTGCATCCTGCTGCTTCGAGGACCGGTGGGGGCGCCCACGGAAGGAGCCCACAGCAGGCGCCCCGCCTACTCACCGTGGTGATGAACCTGTACAAAGGCTGCCGTCTCTCTGTGTACTTGACCGTGATGGGGCTGAGGTCGTACCGGAACCAGATGGCTGGGATGATGCGGCCCGTGTGGCTGTAGGCGACGTACTCCTGGGAAGGAGGAGGGGGCGGGGGGAGGTGGGAATGTGAGGCTCATCTCACGGGGGGGGGGGGGTTGGGGGGTGGATACAGAGGGCCCCCTGCAGCCCGCGACAATGGGCTTCCTCCCTTCTGTCCCCCAGGCGAGCCAGACCCCGCCACCCCCCCTCCCGAGCCCCTTCCCCAGAGGCTTCGATGCTGATGGCAACAGTGCTGGGTGCATTCTGACCCTCTGGGCTGCCTGGAAACTGCGTATTTTAATTCTGGAGGCAGCACCAGAATTAAAATATGCATCAGAGAGCAGAGATGGAAAAGGACAAGTGTGATTTGGGCTCTGTGTGAATGAAGGCTCACTCAACTCCTGGGCTATGCAAAACTCATCCATTTCTGCACTAAGAGTTGCCTGAGCACCTCTCCTGCATGCGATGCTGGCGCCGCGATGGCTGCTGGGCACCCCCAGGGAGTGAGCGCTGCCCCATCCCCTGAGGGGGCCACAGTCTGGAGAAAGCAGACTTAACAATGCGTGTAATACTGTGACCCTGCACATGTCGAGACAGAGGGACATGGAGCGCTGAGGGGGGCCGTGAATGAATGCCCGTGTCTCCCCAGGGGCTTCTGGAAGGCTTGGCGAGGAGGGGACATGCTGTGCCACGCTGACAGCCTGAGGAGTGTGTGACAGATGGGGAGATGGGTCTGAAGGCCTTGCAGGGCTGAGGTTCTTTGAAGAAGAACACACAGAACTGGGGGGCCAGAGGGCTCAGCCCTGCGGCCAGCCCTCCTGAAAAGGCCCCCCGGCCGGACCAAAAGGGTACTCGGGGGCTGAGTGACCGTGTGTCCTCTCTGGTCCGGGCGCCTGAGGACACTGAACACCTCTGGGCTACCCTCCCTCATCTACCACACCTGGAGACAAGGGGAACCCCCGGGGTACCCCAGGCTCCTGCCCCCTCTGTTCACCGTTCCTGCGGGTGCCGCTCCCTGCCAGGGCGGGCTGGGGCCAAGGCCACAGCGAGAGCTGAGCCCGCGGTCCTGGCCCCTGGGCCCTTGCCCAAGCCTCAGGGGGAAGGAGCTTGGGGCAAAACAAGGTCTGCTTTCTCCAGGGAGCGCGGATGGTGCAGGGTGACTGTCTGGGTCACAGCCTAGGGCTGAGGGAGACAGAAAAAATAATGAAAAAGGGGCAGCCTTTATCCAAAGCCTTATCCGGTGCCTGGTTTTACAGGCATGGCCTCATCTGACAGCAATCTTAGAAGGAGGGCGTCATTTTACAAGTGAGTAAACTGAGGCTCAGAGTGGCTACGTGACTAAATGACGGAACCGGGCCTCCTTCACAGCCGTGTTCTCCCAAGGGCTGGATGCCGTCGGCCCGAGGGTGACAAGGACGTGCCCTCCCAGAGACAGAGAATCAGAGCCAGAGAATCACAGAGCCAGGGTTCCTTTTGGAGAGTTAGAGGGGCCCGGGCAGAGCAGAGCAGAGGGACCTCTGGTCAGCGGAGGGAGGAGCTCGCAGCCTGGCAGACTCCTGTCCCTGGTTCAGACTGAGTGGCGATGTGACCAGGGGGCCAGGCTCTGGAGCCTGAGGAGAACCCAGTTCCAATCCCCACTTGGCCAGTTTGTAGCTCAATGGCCGCCTTGCTGTGTGTCAGGGGTCGAGTCTGTAAAATGGGGACAACAACAGTCCCACTGTCAGAGCGGTTGCGATGACCGACAATGACGACAGCGAGAGGTCAGCACAATGTCCAGCTCATTAAAGGGGCCTAGGAAATGACAGCTGTGACTCTTACTGTTGTTATTATTAATTGAGCTAAGCACTGTATCACTTATGAAGGGTCTGGGCAGCCTGGAACAGAAGAAAAAGCAGCGTCTTGGAGGTAAAGGGGTCTGCTGGGAGGCGGGCGTCACCAACGGGCTTCAGGCATTCATTCACACGGTCCTCTCTGCGAAAGCCCGAGGCTCTCGGCTTGAAACCACTGGCTCTGACTGCGCCCTGCCTCCCACTGGGGCCTGCCTCCTTCTCCATAGCTCTGAGTGCTGGGGTCCCAGGACATTCCTCTTAACCAACGGCCATTGGTGTGATTCAAGGGCCTCATGATTTCGGGAAAAGTGCTTGTGCCCTGAGAGCCAGAGCATCTGTCGTGTGCTGACCAATCAGGGTCCCGAGTCTGAAGGACCAGAGCCAGATGCCGGGCTATGGAGACATTTGCCATCTCTGGACCCGGGTCGGGAGGCCACCTGCCTGCTCTTTCTGAAACCCTGCTCAGACGCTTGTCGCCTCTGCTCTCGGCCGGCAGAGGGCGCTATTGCACGCAGCCCGGCCCAGCCGCCGCCCGCCCGCGTACCTTGTTGGCCACCGTGTACTGGTAAGAGTACCGCTGCTTGCCGCTCTTGTCTTCGTAAACCGTGGGCACGATCTTCAAGATATAGTCGTGGGAGGCGAGGGCTGTGGGAAGGACACAGCAGAATGAGGCAGGGGGATGGGCAATGCCTGGCTGGCGGCTCTAGGTCATTTCAGCCTTCAACCTGCTTGGCGTGGCTGGTGGCTGGGGGGCGGGGTGGGGTTCGGGCTCCCCATTTTCATCACCAACGGACCCCTCTTTATTTTCTCCCTCTGACACCAGGAGTTGAAAGACTCCACCTGTCAGGATCTTTACTCCTGGTTTTAATAGTACATTTGTGGGAACAACGCAATGTCCATCAACAGGGCAAGCGCTGAGAGGTGGGTGCTGCGACAGGCCACGTGCCGAGAGGAACGGTGACGTCAAGAGAAGAACCAAGTTACATAACAGGGTGAATAACACGTTTCCGTGCTTTGGGGGCAGGGAAGGCTCACACCGTCTCCATGCAGAAATACATAGAATTTTCTGGAAAGATACCCAGAAAACTATTAGCAGTTTTAGCCCCTGGGGAGGAAGGCAGGATGTGATAAAGATCACATTTTATTGTGCACCCTCTGGTCCTGTTTGAATATTGTTACTTTCGAAACACACTGGGTTTAGGTTTTAGAAAGAAAGGGCTCGCAAACCAGAAAAACTGCATCTATGAAGAATTGATTCATTTCTTTCCCCATTTTCAATGAATGGGAGATCTGTTCTCCCCCCACCTGGCCCTGTTGTATGTTCCAGAGTAACTCTCGCCCCCTCCCCCGCGCGACAGGGAGGCTGCAGAGGGGAGGGACTGAGCCGCACTCCTCCCTGGGTCCCCAGAACCCTACGCGGGGCCTGGTACCGAGAGGACAGTGGCAAATGCTTATTGAGTGAATGAACGGGTGGAGGGATGGCTGAGCAGAGGCATGAATGGGAGAGCAGATGAGTCAGCTTCTGATAAGCATGAGGTAACCGGATTCAAACACTGCGCTGAGAGAACGCTGGCCCAGAGCTGCCAAATGCTGCCCGGGAAAGGTATGAATTCCCCCGGGCCTTCTGGGATGCTAAGAGAAGTTTGGGTCAGGGGTCATGGAGCTAAAAGAACAGGAATCAGAGATGCGGGCCTGTGGGTCCTGATCCAGGTCTCCTGGCTGAGGCGGCCCTGAGCCCTGCACTCATCTTGTGTAAGAGGTGGGGGAGGCAGCTGGTGCCCACGGCCTCTTCCTGCTCACGCCGGGTCTTGGGAAGGAAAGGACAGAGCTCCTGGAACTGTCCGCAGACTGGCCTCCCCCAAGAACCCAGGAAGAGCCCTGCAGCCTCGGGGCTGAGCCCATGAAGACCCTAATGCCCTCTGCTCGACCCCAAAGTGGTCCTCACATAATAAAAGCACCAGAGTCACCCAGAAAAGGCAGACACCTGGGCCCCGCCCCCCAAGGTTCCTGCTCAGTGTGCCTGGGCTGGGGCTCAGGATCTGTCTGCATTTAAACCAGGAGCCCAAGGCCACACTTGAAATACAGTGCCCATCGCCCCGGTTAACAACTTGAAGGCACGGAAACCACATCCGTCATAGTTCTGTTGTTGAACCGAGTGCAGGTTACCAGGGACGAAGCGGGGTAGTGGGGGGGACAAAGAGGGCAAAGGGGGGTCAAATACACGGTGACGAAAGGAGACTACTGCTCTGAGTATACAGATGTTGTATTATAAAGTGCTACACCTGCCATTTAATGTTACTAACCAGTGTTACCCCGCTAAATTACAAATAAATTTAAAACAGTTCTGTTCAAATTTGTACCAAAAAGGTTCACAAATAAGAGAAATAAAACTCACAAATCCACCACCCACAGGAAACCACGGAGTCTCACTCTTGTGTATAAACTGCCAGGCTTGTGTTTATACACGTTTAGGTTTTCTGAAAATTGGATCATACTGTACCTCTTCCTAAAAACTGAACACCACAGACCCCAGAGAGCAGGCTCCACGGTGGTGTCGGTTCTAGGCACTGCCGCAGCCCCCAGCACATGGCCTGGCATGTAGGAGGTGCTCAATAAATGCTTGCTGCCTGACTGCCCGTGAGGTTCCGATGGGCCGCGGTCAGGGACAGTACGTGTCCCACGGCATGGCCGCATCCACGGCCTCGCCCGAGCCTCCACGGCTAGACACAGACCTCATTTTCACTCTTATAAACAATGACCTCATGGCCGTCATTTTCCCAAATCACTGCACTCTTAACTATTTCCTTAGCTTCCACTCTCATGAGTAGAATGGATGACTCAAATGCAATGACCATTTTTAGGGCCTTTGATACAATCTGTCAGATATCCACTAGAGTCCTTGTGCCTAACACACCCATGTGGATTCCTTGTCACCTGACCCCTCTTCAGGGCTGGTGGCTTCAGCACCATCCACGCAGGCCCACATACCCTTCCCACTCCCCCTACCCTTCACATATCTCATTATGGAAAAGCCCAAACATGTAAGAAAAAGGGATCAGTCCTGGCTGGTGTGGCTCAGTGGACTGAGTGCCAGCCTGGGAACCAAAGGGTCACTGGTTTGATTCCCAGTCAGGGCACATGTCTGGGTTGCAGGCCAGGCCCCCAGTAGGGGGTGCGTGAGAGGCAACCATACACTGATGTTTCTCTCCATCTCCTTCTCACTCCCTTCCCAAGGAAGGAAGGAAGGAGGGAGGGAGGGAGGGAAGGAAGGAAGGAAGGAGGGAGGGAGGGAGGGAAAGAAGGAAGGAACGGGGATCGCAGAATGAACTCCCATGTACCCATTTCTCAGAGTCACAGTTACCAACAATGGCCAGCTGCACTTCAGCTCTACCCCGTTGCTCCTCCTCCCGCATTTTATTTTGAAGCTAATCCCAGACATCACATCAATCCATCCACAAACATCTTAGTGGTGTCTCCCTGAAAGATAAGAACTCCTTAAAAAAACAAATAAACCCACTACCACAAGGCCATCAGCACGGCTCAAACATGAACAACCAGGTGTCACTATGTTCAAAGAGAGTGGCCTAAGCTGAGAAAACCAGTGAACTTGTTCCTTAGGAGGAGAGAGTCCCTACAGAGAATGTGGTCGGGGGGGCCTCTGAGCAGTGGCGTTTTTGCTGAGACGTGAACAAGAGGCAGACTCTGGAGATGTGAGCACAGAGGGCCCCTCGGAGGCAAAGGCCCAGCGTGGGGACCAAGCCTAAAAGCTGAGGAGATGAAAGGCCATCCTACGTCTAGCCATCCCCCAATGCGTTTTTCTCGCCATGAAGCCAGCCGGAGACGGCTTCTGTCTGAGTCCGTGCAGTTTTCAGCGCACACCCTCTGCCGGCTCATATCCTGGGGCCCTGAGCTCGATCGGCTTCCCATCGCGGGCAGCTGAGGGGCCGGTGCTGACTGCGGGCACGTGTGGACGGCTACCTTGGGACCACGCGCTGCCCTGACACAGACCTCCGGTGACTCCCCGCCCTCCATGACATTTGCGCACATGCACGGAAGGTGCTGTTGCATATGTGGGCAGCGCGAATGGGTGCGGACTGCTGGGAGGCCACTGGGAATGAAGGCAAAGCAGACACCGTGCGCAGCGGCCGCATCGCTCTCATGGTGAAAACGCACTCAGCCTGGTGGCAGAGCTGCTGGGCGGGCGGCCATGCCTCGGTCACCGCCGGAAAAACTGGACAGAACTGTGGTTACGTAATGAGCCTGAGTGCAAAAATCAGAAGGTAACTACTGTCCACGCTTTGAAAAAATGACTTCCGTCCATGGACAAGAACTCAGAAGGACACAGAGAAGGCAAAGGGCGAGTTCCTGGGGGTGGGGCAGGTCACCAGGAGATGTTCTCTCTTACTGAGATTCCCGATGATTAGCAAGCAGAAGGTACTTTAAGATGCGCCAAGAAAAGCCTCATGGATAAGAAAGGTGAGCTCGGGGAGGCAGTTAGAAAAGGCCAGGCGGCCTGTCCTGCAGGGTCCAGCACGCAGACAGGCCTCCCAGGCTGGGTCTGTGTGCACGTCCAGGCCCCTGAGTGTGGGCGCGTTTCTCTGCCGGCGTGTAAAGACGCGGAACTCTCTTTAACCTGGGCCAGGGAGCTGGGTGGGGAGGGAGCAGGGGAGGGGGCCTTCCGGGGAGGGGTGGGCTTAGCATGAAGACAGAGTAGGGTGGGGGTGGCGGCCCAGGTAGCCAGACCTGACTGCGCCACCCACGGACAAGGTCGCACACTGCCACGTGATCTAGGAGGGGCCCGGGCTTGGCCATGGCTCCCTGCGGGACCTCAGGGATTCGCTCTAAGAACTAAGGACGGTAATAGTGACGACCGCGATGGCTGGTGCTCATGAGAGCCTGGGGCTGTTGCAGACGTCTCCCAGGGACAAGTCCCTTTTCTGGAAGACACAGAGACTTCCACCTTCCTCCCAGGGTGGCTGTGGGGAAGAAGCCTGGCTTACAGGGAGGGCCCCGAACCGTTCCCTCCCCTCCCCCACTCCTTCTGGGCAGCACTGGGAATCATGGGGCAGGCCGTTCCCAGGGGCGACACTTACGGTTGGAGGCGAGTCTGTCCGCTCCCCCGAGAGCATTGAAAGCTCCGTGGACATTCTGGACCTGTGGAGAGGCACAGTGAGGGGACGCCGAGGTGCCATCTGGTTTAGGGACCTCCTTCGTATGTAAAATGCAGGTTCATCAGGGTCTGTCTCATAAAGAAGTTGTGGGGAGCAACTTCTCCCCACAGACACCGCACAGGCCTGGCACATGGTAGGCACCAGCCTGCCTCCCATCCTGGGCAACTATGTGCCAGTCTGTCCTGGGTACTCCAGCGCCTGGCAGAGCCTGGTGTGGAGCAGAAATTTCTCAAGAGTGTGATGAATCCAGGACTGTCCAAGGCATAGAAAGGAAGACCCAGGGCCGACGCACCTGGTTGCTTACAAGCTGTGTGACCTTGGGCGAGTTACTGAACAGATTCTCTGAACCAGAGTGAGGAGGGCCTGGTGCGGTGTAAAGGCCGGGTCTGAATTCTGGCCACAAATGCTCGTAAGTGACATGACAGTGGATGTGCCTGTGTGTGTGCAGCGGCACTGAGGGGCCCCACCCGCCAGCAACCGCAACCAGGAAACGAATTCTCCCCTAGCAAGGCCTGGGGTCAGGTCCCGCTGGACCCCAGCGCTGGGGCCAGGCAGTTACTTCCCCTCGGAGCCTCGGTTCCCTCTGTCACACAGGCTGCAAGGGACTCTACCTCCAGGACCGCCAGCACACCCTGCCCTGCAGCCAGCAGAGACAGGCTGGTCGGTGTCTGGTCCTCTGTGTTTGCTGCCATGGGTAAGAAATTGCTGGGCTGGGCCTCCTGGAGGTGGCTGCCTCGATCAAACAACAAGGACTCAGGATACTCCCTTCACCACGCCACCCTATGTAAAAGCGTGGCCCTGGGCAGCAAGGCCGAGGGGGCCACAGAGGGGAGCAGGCAGGGCTGTGCAGACAGATCTGCGGGGGTCCCTGACCAAGCAGCTCCATGTCTATAAGAAGCAGTGAACCCCCCCACCTCATAAGGCTGCACCGACAAAGGGAAAGTGCCAGCACTGAGTACTTGCTCATGAAGGGCGAGCCCTATTCCCCCCGGCCCCAGGCCTCAGGCTGAGGTTCCAAGGCCGGCCCGCTGATGATGAACGGCAGCTGTGTGCTCAGAAGGAACGAAACAGGGGGTGTGGGATGGAGCGGGGGGCTCAAAGGGGGCGACCCCTCCAGAGGCCATCGCTCTGTGCCCAGGAAGGACAGACGGCTCTTCTGGCAACACAGCCCCCGTGCGCCCATCCCTGGCCACACCACCTGCAGCGTGGCTGCTCACCTGCAGCGTGTCCCCAAAGGAGAGCTTGTGGATGACATGGGTCATGTCCGGGTTCTGTGGCTGGGCCGTGGCACTGTGTGTGGACACGTGGAAGTTGCCTGGGACCTGGAGAGAGAGGGGAGTCTCAGGAGGTTGGTGGGCTTCCCCGGAGGGTAGGGTGCAGGGCTCCGCCCTGGAGCCAGACAGACCTGGATGTGGACCCCAGGTGGGTCCAGCTGCAAGGCTGGAGGGGCCACCGCCCATCCGAGCCCCGGCTTCCGCACCTGCAGAATGCGGCATCAGTGGTGGCTACTCAAGGGCATGGTTGGGGCTGGGGCCGGGGAGGGGGCATGTCTGTGAAGTGCCCTGCTGGACACCTGGCGCAAGGCCATGGGTTGAGACAGCAGCTGCCACCACCAACTCCTGGCTGATGGCTCCATAGCAGGTCGGGGACGACCTCAGGCCTGCAGGCCCCGCAGAGCTTCCTGAAACTCCACGTTAACACTGTCACCCTTTAGAAGAAGTGGTATGGCTTATAATTTAGCAGCTCATTTTATTTTTTTAAAGATTTTATTTATTTATTTTTAGACAGAGGGGGAGGGAGGGAGAAAGAGAGAGTAACGTCAATGTGTGGTTGCCTCTCACGTGCCCCCTACTGGGGACCTGGTCCACAACCCAGGCCTGTGCCCTGACAGGGAATTGAACCAGAGACCTTCTGGTTTGCAGGATGGAGCTCAATCCACTGAGCCACACCAGCCAGGGCTTGCAACTCATTTTGCAAGCGTTCCCCTTTCGAACTCTGTGAACCTCTCTCAGGAGCACGTGTCTTCACTAGGGCCCGGGCTCTGGGCTGACGCAGAGGGGCCGGGAGCACAGGGCACGCCGGCCTCCGCAAGCTCACACTGCGTGGCCCGCGTGGTGCCTGGGCCCAGGGCCCGGGGCGTGGGGAGGAGGGCGGGGCAAGCCACTGGGTCTAAGGAGAGCAGGGATGGACAGCTTGAGATTCCCCAGGAGGCACAGCCCCGCCCGCTCAGGGCCTGATTACCTGTGACAGGGTAGCAGCTGGGTTCCACAGGTCCGGCCCTACCTCCTGGCTGGGGGGTCACGAGCACGGTCAGTGACTACTCTGTGCCTCAGCTTCCCCATCAGCAGAATGGGGTAGCGACCTCAAAGCGTTACTGGGAGGATTAAATGTGGTGACAAGTACAACGCCAAGGGCAGCTGTCACTAGGCTGGGCTCGTAGGATGGACCAGTTTGTCACCAGGCAGGGGGACCCTGCTCCTGGAAGAGGGGACAGCATATATACAGGGCCTGGGGAGGAGCCACTGCATTTAAAAAATACTTTAAACGTCGTTTTTACTTGTGTAGATAACACGGAGATTCATCTGTATTACAAAGACTTCACGAGATAAAGTCGGGATTCAAGTCCCCGTTGCCTGCCATCCCCGGAAATAAAGAAACGATGGCGTCTGGCATGTGTCCTTCAGACTTCCCTATGCAGTGACGTGTGGCCTCCGGGGGACGTGGGCAGAATTCAGAACCGTGTCTGGGGCCTGGGCCCCCCGCTCTCGGAGTTAAGTGAGGCAAGGAGGCTGGCTGCGTGCATCTGCCACCCGCTGCCACCGCTTGAGCTGTGACTCAGTGACCCGCCCCCCCCCCGCACCCGGAATCCATCACAGGTGGCTGACTCATACCAGCACACACTGGGCTGGAGAAAGAAAAGACGACGCTTTTAGAGCCTGTGACTTAGGAGCCTGCGTCAGTGCCTCTGATGGATTTTAAAAATATATCGGCAAAGCCAGGCCTCAAGCTCCGGCTCACCGTGCCCTCTTCCCAGGGCGCTGGGGGACGCAGCAAGGGGTCTGGGATGCTGGGGCCATCGGTGCAGCTGAGACATGTGAACCCTGACTTCCGGCTGCTGGCCAGCTCCCTGGCGGGCGGATAAGGAGGCTGCGGGGCAAGGGCGCGCCAGGTGCTGTGAGACAAGGGGGTGGGGGGTCGGTGGCAGGGGATCCAAGTCCCAGGGAGACTGAACCCCCCCCCCCCCAGACTCTCAGCAGGAGCCATGAGACACCTGGGCATTGACCTCAGCCTGCCGGGGGCTGTCTGGGGAGGCGGGTGGGTGCACAGCTTGGCTGTCTGTTCCTGGGGAGGGAGAGGACGGAGGAGACGGGGACCAGGGGCTCTGTACCTTGTTGATGCTGAACTGGCCCTCGAAGCGGCAGCCCACCCCGTTGTTCAGCGGGATCTTCATGGAGTTGTCGATGTGCCCCACTTCATGCCTGCCCATCTCATCCTGGATGTCGAGCCCGACCACTGAGACAGCCAAGGAGAGAAGAGTCACAAACACCCAGAGAAATGGGGGCGAAGGACCAGCCCCCTGCTCCGTCCCCTCCTCGGACAGGCCGGGGCCCTCCAGGTGCTCACTGGGGCCCAGAAACCCAGAAAGGAAATCAGGCCACGTGATGGACAGGGAGGCTCTGGGCAAAGGGGGAGCTGGCCCCCCACGCCCCCTGCCATGCCTGTGCTAGAAAGGAAGAGGGGAAAGAGAGAGGGAGGCAGCAGCTTCTGGGACCTGTGACCAGTGACGCAGGAGTGCAGGGCACGGGGGTGACGGCCACCCAATGCGAGGCCGCAGGCCGCAGAGGGTCAAGGGGAGGAGGTGGCCTGAATCCGGGCCCTGCCTGCCTCAGACCAGCTGTGCGACCTGGGCTGAGGCACTCAGCCTACGTCCGCTTCAGTTTCTTTCTTGGGAAATGGGGTGGTAACAATTAAACCTTCCTTGAAGGATCATGAGGATCAAACAGTTAATATGTGTAGAAAACACTTAGAACAGGGTGTAAGGCACAGGAAGTGGCAGGTGCCTAATACACTTCACCACAATGCAGCTCAGATGGAACCTGGGCTCACTGGTTCAAGAGGCTCACTCCTTCATTCGTTCATTCGTTCATTCGTTCATTCATTATGAAGGTGTCACCGTTAGTTCCTGCCTTCATTCACGCACACCCTCCCTTGCCCCAGTGCCTGCTCCTCCAGGCCCCGCCCTGCAGGAGCTCAGGCACTTTTCTGGGTTGCTCCATACGCCAAACGGGCGACCTGGGGAGCCCCGGTCCGGACGGCAGTGTGGTCCCACCCCCTCCATGACTCAGCTTCCCACCCTGGGCAATGGGCAGGCGCACGCCAACGGCTTGTCCCGAGATGGTCCAAACGGCAAGGGGGAGGTGGCGGGTCCCCATAAACTACTGCAGCGCAGCGATTTCCCCGAAAGGACGTGAGGAAGAGGGCCTCAATGCAGAGAAAGAGCAGCTGGAAGTAACTTTTTAAGTGAGCCAGTCCTGAAAGGGGACAACAGGAACAACTCCAGCTCCCTCAGTGGAGACGGGGAAGGGAGCGAGGGCCCATCCACAGGAGAGAACGGGATGTGGCCATTACGAAGGACACTCACGGGTCTGCGGTATATGGGAAGGCCGATGCGTATCACTCAGCTTAAAAGAAAACGCAAGCAGGTCCTTGTTTGAGTCAGCAGTTTCATCCCCGGGAGCCTATCCTCAGAATGCACACGTGATCAGACACGTGTGCAAGGCCGCTCAGGGCGAGCGTATTTGAAACTGTGACAACTGGAAGCAACCCAACTGCCTGTCGGCAGGGGCCTGGCCAATGGAACGGCCCCCTCTGCAAGGCTGGGCAGCAGGTAGAGGAAGGGGCTGAACCGGCACGTGGGAGAGGCCGCACAGGGCAGGGCAGCAGCCGAGTGTGGCACTGCGCTTCCCAAAAGTCACCCAGCCCCTCTGTGCCTCAGTTTCCTCCTCCATCCTAGGTTTCTGAGGATAAAAAAAAGGAAAATAGCACTTTCTATGCACTAGACACTAAGAGTGCCTTTTATGTAAGAACGCGCCACCTGAATTTTCCCAGGGGGCAAGTTAATGCTATCAGGCCCATTCTTTCTGGGGAGACACCGAGGCACAGAGAGGTTAAGTCACTTGCTGGTGACCTCACAGCTAAGAAACGATGACGCCTGGATTGGAACCCGTGGAGCCTCGATCCAGAGCCCACGCCCTTTGACCACTCTGCTAGAACCCCTCTCACCTTGATGCGCTGACACAGCCAGAGTGTTCACATCGGGACCTGGCCCCGGCTCAGAGCCGACTGCGTGCCTGCCGGCGTTACTGTTTCACTAACCTTATATGAGTGATATATAAGGACAGCCCCAAGGGACCAGCTGAAAACAGGAACCCCAGACAGGTCCCATGCAGCTGGGTCCCAATTACAGAAAAAAAGATTGTTGACGGACAGGTAAGCGGACAGGCAGACGGACAGAGGACACAGGAGTAGAGTGAGGGGTCCCAGCCCTTGACAAATGCTTCCTCTGGGGTGGCATAGCACGCTGGGGAATGTGTATTTCTTTTAGCGTTTTCTTTCTCTATTTCTATATTTTGAACACATTATCCTTTTTAAAAATAAAAAATAATGTGTTCCTTTATTAGTTGTGTAACCAAAAAACCCCATCATTTTTTAAAGCAGGATATGAGATCGTACATGCAGCATGATCTCAGCGGGTGTAGAAATGTGCGGAAGGGAAAGCCAACAGGACGGAATGGCCTGGAGTGTCCACCGAGCCTGTCGCGGGCGTGAAGGATGGATGATTTCTCCTCTCTCCGCTGTTCTGGATTTTCCAAAAGTACAATGGTGAGCGCATACTTTTTTTTTTATAAGATAAACTTGAAGCTTAAAAAAAAAAAAAAGCCAGGGTATGGGCTCTAGAGCAGCAGGGCCCTGTGGGCTGGTGCAGCCACAGTGTGAGGTCGCTGGGCCCCTCTTGGGCCGCTGCCTGGAGCTGGGACAGAGCCTGGAACCACATCCCTTCCCTCCCCGGTCCCCCGGGTCCCAGTCCTCTGGCCTAAGAATTTCCTTGTTCCAGAGACACAGCCAACGCCTGAATGAGAAGCTGCCAGATGAATTATTTTTCTAAGAGAAGGAATAAAATAAAAAAAAAAAAGAAACCTGACCATTCCAACAGGTTGCCTGGCTTGGGGCCCACTGTGGATTCAAAATTGTGATGTAATTCTCACCCAAAGCAGTAAGAGGGCTGACTCCCTATCTCTGCCTGCAGACCCACCCAACACGCTGCCCTTCAATGGCAAGGAAGGGGGTCGCACGCCACGTTGGGGCAGAGAAACAGCCAGGACCCCAGTCCCCTTACCCACAATTCTAGGGGCCAGCTTACCACATCCTCTCAACAACTGCAGGCAATAGACAGCACTAAGCCCATTTTACAGATGAGGAAACTGAGGCTTGGCAAGGTTACCTTAACCAGGGTCAGACAGTTTTAGCGACGGAAGGAGCCAGAATGTGATGCCACACGCCAGGCTTCCAATGAGTTTTGTTTATACAAATAATTCCTCCCCTTGGTTGAATCAAAGGAAACAAACAGATAAGGTAGAGTATGAAGTGAAGAAGGGAGTGTTCTGAGTGCTGCTAAGAGCTCACAGCTGCATCCTCCTCTAGGTGGCTGGCGACACCTGGTTGGCTGAAGGCTCCTTGCCTTGAGGCGCTGGGGAGGTTCTGTGACCACCCCCCCCTCCCCCACACACCACCCTGCAGTCCTCAGTCAAGGACACCAAGGATATGGATAATGAGAGCCAGGCCCTGCGCTACCAGGTGGGACAAACCATGGCGCCATTCACAAGCCACACACCTCTGCTTGTCCTCTCGCCTCCCTCACACCCTCAGTGGTTCCTCCTGAGAGCCCGCTCTCAGTAAATTCATGTTCTGAGAATCTGACTCTGCTTCTTGGGAACCTGAACTAAGAAACTACCCCCGACCCCCGGCCAGCAGCATATACCCTCCAGATGTAAAGCTCGTTAGCAGTTTCTTATTTTTTTCCTTCCCAAAACCCACCAAGTATGTTCACATGGGATCATATTCTCCCCACAAAAGTGGGAGAAATCTCATGCTACCTGTTGCTGGCAGCCTGCCCGGCTCGCTTTGCTGGTCCCAGTCCTCCCCCCACGTCTGTGAGGGCGCGCCCAGCGCCGCCTACAGGAGGGGTCTGGCTGCGAATACTCACGTTCACAGTGCAAGTTGGGCAAACTGATGTTCAGGCTGACGTCGATTTTGCCCCCGCTGTCCTTGTCCGGGTCATCGACATACAGCTCGTTCACGCTGGGGGAGACAAGCACAGAAGCCTTTGCTGTGACGGGGGCGCCCGCCCAGGCTGCAGGGACGGCTCCCCTGGGGGGGATGGGGCGGGGCAGCGGAGCAGGCGAGGGGGCGTGGCAAGAGCACGGGAGTCTGATTCAGGTTCCCACGCTGGCTCCGCCACTCTCTGGGGGAACTCGGCACAGGCTGCCCCTGTGAACGCATCTGTTATGCGGGGGTCAACGGGATGGTCTGAAGACGTATGCGAGGACTGCAGGCCTTGCTAGGAATCCGAGCCTGGCCCCAGCAGGCGCACGCCAACTCCCTCCCACGCCACCGTGATCTCATGTTCCAGGTCTCACAAACCCGGGGCCGGTACCAGGTCTAAGAACAACCAAACCAACGTATCAGTTCCTTGTGGCTGCTGTAACAAATTGTCGGAAAGTTAATGACTTTAAAACAACACACCTTTATCCCTGGCTACTGTGGCTCAGTGGATTGAGCCCCAGCCTGACAACCAAAGGGTTGTTGGTCCAATTCCCAGTCAGGGCACAGGCCTGTGCTTCAGGCCAGGTCCCCAGCAGGGGGCGCCCTAGAGGCAATCACACATTGATGTTTCCCTCTCCTTCTCCCTCCCTTCCCCTCTGTCTACAAATAAATAAATAAATAAATAAATAAATAAATAAATATATATATTTTTTAAAAGCATACCTTTATTAACTTCTACTTCTGGAGGCCAGCCGTCCACAGTGGGTCTCCAGGGGAGAATCCACTGTCTCGCTTTTTTGGCTTCCAGAGGCTGCCTCAGCTCACAGCTCCTCCCTTCACCTTCCGGGCTGGCTGTGTGGCATGTTCTCTCCTCTCTAACCAGCTGACTTCCTCTTAGAACTCTGTGAGCTCACCCTGCCCACCTGGGTAACCCAGGACCACCTTCCCATCTCAAGCCCCTTGACATCATCACATTTGTAAACGTCCTTTTTTCACATTCGGTCACAGAGTCACAGGTTTCAGGGATGTGGATATCTTTGGGGACAGGTGGCTCCACAGACACCTTGACAGCCATGACACTCTGTTGTTGGGGACAACAGCACCACGCTGTGATCTGTGAGCAACACTCGTGTATTTAACCAAGCCTTCTGAGCACCTAGCCTGCCAGGCACCAGAGTGACAGGAAGGAGACCACCATGGTCTCAGCCTTCACGGAGCCCCCAGGCACCACGGCTTCCCAGGGAAACAGCGCCCACTAACCATGAACACTGCTTTCATGGAGAGCTGAGGGTGCCCCGGGAGGGCCGGGCCGGGCGGCTGGGACGACCTCTCGGAGGAGGTAGCAGCTGAGGTCTAAGGGTGAGGAGGCTGTTCTGGCAGAGGGAGGGGGGACTCGGGCCAGAGGCCTGGAAGTGGGGAGGGCGCGGCTCACTTGGGAACTGAGTGAAGGTCACTACGGCTGCAGTGGGGAGCAGGTCCGGGGGGCTCCAGGGCCATGCTGAACCCTTCGCATTTGCAGCTGCACCCGGTGCCTCGGTCAGTACTGCACTGTACTAGGAGGCTCCCTGTCTGCTGCAAGGAAGGCTGATCAGAGGGGCCAAGGTGCATCAGGGAGTCCAGGCAGGAGGCCGCTGCAGGCTGCAGGTGACAGATGGCGGCCTGGCCTAGGCGTGGCAGGGACGGAGAGGAGGGCAGGGGATGCAAGAGCAGGCAGGACTCGCTGGCGGACGGGCCTGAGGGCAGGCGGAGGGAAGCACGCGGCGACTACCGCAGCCTCTTTCTGGAACCGTGCACTGGGAAAGAAGCTGGCTGGTGGCGGGAGAGGCACTGGGTTCTGCGTGGCCGTGCTGGGCTCGCGGTGCCCTGGAGTGAACGCTGGATGGCCATGTCGGAAGCCTGGTTCCCAGATAACTCCCCACGGGGAGAGGGAGCCAAATCTAAAGGCCGGCCTAGTGGGTAGCTATGGGCAGAGCGCGAGGCGGCCACTTGGGTCCCGGGCACGGGCTGAAACCTAAGGGACTGCGGCTCTATACAATCAGGCTCTGTAAGAGCCTTGTCAACGACCACTTCTTTGGGAAAGGAGCTGGGCCAGGGCGAGGGCACCTTGCTTTTACTAAGATCCTGTCCTTGTGCCCCAGAGCCTAGTGTGCCCCAGCTGGTGCTCACTTAATAAGAAACAGTGGGCTCAACCACACACCCGCGGCTTCTCGCCTTCTTGGGTCACAAGAACGTTCTCAGAATCAAGAGAGACCTGCACAGCTTAGCCTTCAGATGGCAGGGATTCCCACCCATCCAGCCGGGAACGGCCTGATCTGCCCCTGTGAGATGTCCTGATCCCCATTCTAATGACAGGAAACTGAGGCTGAGGCTCAGAGAGGCTGAGGCCCACCCCCAAGGTCACACAGCAGGACATGGCTAAGCTGTCCCCCGGCCCAGGTCTGCCTTCTTCCTGAGTCCCAGGGCTCACTTTGCCTCCCTCCTTCTTGTCCCCAGCACCCGGGGTCAAGGGAGAAACTGAAGGGGCCCTGGCCCTCTGAGGCGCCGGCGTGGGCGGAGAGGAGCCAAGGGCCTGGGCTTGGCAGGCTCCCAGAGTTGCCCCTCATCAAAGAACAGGAAGAACTAAGGAACCCGAGGGAGAGGAGCGAACAGGATCACGGGACACTACGCTGGAGGACTCGCTGTGCCACTGCCAGATGCTCCTCCTAGGCCTTCAGCGCCCCATTTCTACCCCGGCCTGAAATCGCAACTCAGGAGGGTTGTTGAGTAATGAGGTTGCTCGGTGACTAACAGAACGGTCACCGAGGGAGAGCCCTCGGCTTCCCTTCCCTGCCCAGTGAGACTCTTCCTTGAAGCGCCTCACCTCTCCCACCTGGGAGGCGGGGCCTGGGGCATCACTGAGGGATTGTGGGATGATGTCATCCCCTGGCAATCCACTGGAGGTGACCTCAGCTGGCAGAGCAAGGTGAGTCCCAGGTGTGGCGCCAAGGTGAGCTCACCGGTGGGGCCTCGGGAGCCCTCTCCCAGGCCAGTGGCCCGGCTCCTCAGCGTGGCCCAGACAAAGGGGCCACGGTGCAGGGGAGGCGGCGAAGGCTCTCAGCTGCGGGGCTCAGAGACAGTCTTGCTCTGTAAGCCTAGAGCTGGCAGCTCTCAGGTGCCTCCCTGGAGGCCCCGGGCTGTGCGGTAAACGCCCCGTCACCTGGGCCGCCCGCCAGGTGAGGTCAGTCCAGCCACCTCCTGAGAACAAAGCCAGTGTTCCGGGGCTGCTGGCTTCCTGCCTCCCCGAGCCGGCTCTGCGAGCCCACTCACAGCCTCACGTCACTTGTCACTCACGGGTGCCTGCCAAGGCTGGCTAACCTTGTTGCCTGGGGCCAAGCTGATTGTAAAATGTGATTTTAAAAGCCCGTTTGGAGCTAAAGCAGATGCTTTTTGGGGACCCACTGTTGTTTGGGGATGGGCCCCTGGGCCTGATTCCCCGTCACTGGCAGGGTAATAAGAAGACCCGTGGGGCAGTGACAGGGAGGTGTGGCTCCCCACCTGGCCACACCTCTGAGAAGCTGGGGGCCTGGGACAAGGGGCTTCATCTCTCTGAGCCTTGGTTTCCTCCGCTGTAAAACTGGTAAAGCTTTCTATGAAGTTAAAAGATAGGCAGAAGTAATCTACGGTAAGAGAGGTCAGAACGGTGGGGGAGGGGCGGTGACTGGGAGGGGGGCAGAGAGAACCTTCCAGGTGGCGGGGATGTGTTATCTCGATGGGGCACTGATGTGGGTGTGATGTCAATGCAGGTAAACACCCATCAAGTCTCACCTTTAAGACGTGTGCACTTTGCCATCTGTAAGTTATATACACCTCACTAAAAAAGGTGGTGTGGGCGCGGGGGTGGAGGAGAGAGAAAAGGAGGAAAAGAAGGGGAAAGAAAAACATGGGCTAAGGATTCGGCTACTTCCCAGGGCTGTATGAGGACCAGCGATGGGACGGCAGGCTGCCCGGGCAGCGGTGTTTGTCCCTCATTTAACCCTTGGGGACACAGCACGGGCCCTTCTGGGTAGAAGGCATCCTGGTGGAAGTCCAGGTTCTCAGGGTTCAAATCCTCGCTCCGCCACCTACTGTCTGGTTGACCTCGTCCAAGGGGCTTTGCCTCCCTTGCCTTAGTCTCCCCAGATCTGTAAGACGGGGACAATCATAGATGTGGCACAACCTTAGTAAAGAGTAAGTGCTCGATACACATCCACTACTGCTATTGTTACTATTAACATCAACGTTTCCTGAGTTGATAGTAACAGTATCCAGCGCATAGCGTTGTGGGGAGGACTGAATGTGTCCATGCGTGTAAGGTGCCAAGCACAGCCCCGGTCAAGTCTAAGGCACACGTAAAATCCGGCCTTGCTGATGACTAAGCAAAGGAGATGGCCCCGTTCTGCACTCGCAGGTGGTGCTAGGCACCGTGCCGGGGCTTTCACGCATATCTCATGGAACATGCAGGACAAGCCAGTGTTTAACTGGGGTTACTCTCCTCCTTCCACAGGGATGACGCCAGGCTCAGAGGAAGACAGATAAAGACTGGCCAAGGTCACACGGCAGGAAGAGGTAGAGGCAGGATCTGAATCTAGAGACCCAGGGCCCCTGGAGCCCAGTGCCGCGTTCCTTCTCCTGGATGACACGGGACAGGATGGAAAGTGATGGAGACCTGAGGGGCGTGGCCCCCAAGTACACCTGTGGGGCAGGTGTCACGGTCTTTCTGATAATCTTCAGGTGCTCCCCCGCCACCCATGGCCCAAATATCCATACGCTCTGGAGGCGCTCAAGGGGCCGCTCCTAATGTGCCCGTAACCTCCCTCTGTCACCACCTGCCACACCCTGTGGGCGGCAGCATCTGAGTGGGCCCCCCTCCCTGAAGGGGACTCTGTGCTACCAGCACAGAGCGGGGGCTCACACTCTGCTGACAGAGCAGACGGGGGAGGTAACCGGCTGCACTGGTGGAGGAGTAGGGGCGCATCCGGGGCGGGGAACGCCAGGCAGCGTCAGGGAGTCTGGCGGATGGCGTGGGGGTGGGGGGCGAGCCGAGACCATGTAGGGAGAGCGAGAGAGGGCCTGGGGTGGGAGCGGTGCGGGGTGCGGAGGTGGAATGTGATGGAGGGCCTTGGAATTCTCGGCTGAGGCGTGAGTCTGGTGACATCTACGGAAAACAATTTTATTTGCTTTTAGAAGAGCACTTGAATAGTTCAGATTCCTGCCCAAAGTCGCTGACCTCCGAGTTTAATAACTGGATTTAATGGAAACTTACACACAGCAAAGGCCCTGGTGGGAGGGGGCTGGGAGGGAGGCGGGTTATGCAATCGCCACCTGGCGGGGAATAATGCCCCCCACCTGAGCCCTCTGCAGACACAAAGTCCCGCCCCCGCCCCACAACACAGCTGTCACCCTCTGCCTTGGTCCTCGTGCAGCCTCCTCACCTGGCCCCTGGCCTCCAGGGTCCCCCTCTTTGCAAGAGGTGAGCTGAGGCACAAGCCTGATCCGGTCACTGAGCTCAGAAGCCTTCAGCTCTCCCCCTGGTCCTTTCTCAAGAGCACAGTGACAACCGTGGCTGCTACCCAGCCCTGGCGCACCATCCGGACACGGGTGGGCATCTGGGCTCCGGCGGGCCTGCTCCTCCCCCTGGTGACGCCACCGGCCTCCTCGCTGTGGACCTGCTGGGGCTGCGTGCGAGGACACCGGCCGGGTGCCCTCCGAGTTCCCCCAGTGGGCAGTGGCTCCCGGAGTCCTCACTGCCTGCTCACTGCCTGGGCCGGGGGGATCCAAGCCCTCTAGTCAACTGTTCTGACCAAAGAGCAGCGGCTCCCAGGCGCCCAGGGGGCCAAGGCGATCTGGGCAGAAAAGGGCAGGGTAACAGGCCGGGGTGATGCCCGGGCATCAGTCAGGCTTGGGCTTGGCTCTGGCTCCACCACTTCCTAACCGAATTGGGGTTTTAGCCTCCTGGTGCCTCAGTTTCCCCGGCTGTAAAGCAGGGCTAATGCTAACAGTAGAACCCACTTCAAGGGGCTTGGTGATGATTAAATTGGCTGAGCATCATAAATTCCTGGCCTGGTGGCCAGCACCTGCTCGCCTGCTGTAAAATCGCAACGGGAAATGAGAATGAGTTGTGTCATGCTACATGATATCAATGGAGGGCTCCGATGGCTGCAGTTTCTTATTCTAAGTCCTCACCACGTTAATAATACAGCAGCCAGAGCCTGGGCAGTCAGAGGCTGGCATGTTCTGTGGCCAGCGCTCTCCGAGGAGGGTGGCTTGCTCCCCTGGAAAGTCTGCCTCCCGGCACCCTGGGGGGGCCTCTCCCCCAGCATAATTAACGGCCTGTCCAGGGCCCAGGTGGGAACCCAACCGCCCAAACAAACAGGCCTCTCTCCCACCGGGCCGGGCCAGAATAGCGTCTTAGGTCACCGATAACCACAGGCCAGGGCTGCAGCCATGCTGACCCAACCAGCGGTGACCTCATTTCCTTGGGTTACAATCTCGTCAGGGTAGGGGACTGACCCACTGTGGTCACGCGCTACTGCCAGGGAGGGCCAGCAGCTCCGAAAGGGAAAAGGACTGTGACTTTCCATGCGTCCCAGATCAGCAGGGCTCCGCAGCGGTGAGATGCGCTTCTGAGAGAGGGAAGACCCCAAAGGAGAACCCGTTGTCCCTCTGTGGCGCCCTCGGTCCTCACCCTTGCAGACTCCCCTGGAGCAGCTTCCATATTATGGCTATGTGGCAACAGAGACAGAGGGGACATCAGGGCCCCTGCGTGTCATAAACGGAGGCTCTGGCCCCAACAGGTCTCTCTTCTTGTCCCCGCCTCCCTCCCTCCCTCCTCTCCAGCCACACACACTGCAAATGGGAAACTGCTTCTTAGGCCGGGGCCGGACACAGGGGAACCCTCGAAGAATAGCCTCTTGTTTGATTTCTCCCCTCACCCTCATCTTTCTTCCTCTCCAGGGATCTGGTGGGACCAGAGGGTCCAGGATGCCCCCAGGGGCCCGGAAGAGGAAGTCCCGGGGAGGGGACAGGCAGCAGGGCGGTCGGAACGATGTGCTCCTGGGAAAGGAGCCCGGCCTTGGGTACACGGAAGGACCTGCCCAGGCTTGCTAGGGTGGCCCTGCAAGCAGCTGAGATGCCGGCGCTGACGTCCCAGCGCGCCTGCCTGGGGCCCCTGCCTCAGCGCCCGACCGCGCTGGGGGCTGCGCTGATACACGGGGTTCCTAAGCTGCCTTCACAATGTCGGCAGGATACAAGGGGGCCCGTCCGTAACTCAGGGGAGGGGACGAGGAAATAAACATACACAGGGCACTTATCCTGTGTGAGGAGTTGAGCGGCCTTCCGGTTTTTCTAGTGTTAGATGGGGAGTAACTATGAAATGAGTAAATGCAGAAAGATATGGTAATCCATTAATACCAAAGGCTACAATAAATTCCTCATTCACGGGTGTTGCGATTTTACAAATGGACGTCCAGACCACCTCCACCAGCAAAACGCGGACGCCTGGCTTTATTGCGGTGGTCGGGCCGCGTGCGCAGCACCTCCTAAGGGGGCTGCTATCTTGTGCAAGCCGCCTAAGACACCACACGCCTTCTCCTTCTGCTCCCTACTTTGTCTTTTTATTCCGAGCCCTTATCACAAACTGATATATCCTAGGGCCGTCTGCTTGCTGACCGGCTGTGTCCACTGCTGCCATTTTCGGCTCCACTGAGCATGGAACCGCACGGCAGGGAATGAGGCAGGCCTGGCTCCAGCTGCTGGGGGCTCAGGGCCGAGGACGGGCCCCCCAACACAAAGCCGTGTGTACAGGGCTGACTCGGCCCCGCTGTTTCTCCTGCCCGTGCTCTGCCCGGCCCCCGCCCCCGCCGCACCGGTTCCCTGGCTGCACTTCACATACCCCAGGGAAGTCCTGCCTCTGGGCCTCCGCACTTGCTCGTGCCCTTGCCTGGAGCAGGTAAAGCCGCCTTCCTACCCGGTGCCTAGGGCGTGGTCAGGGCCCCTCCTTGTTGCGGTCACACATGTACTCTGCTCATCTTGCTCAGAACGTGAGGAGCCTGCAAGGCACCCTCCCCCCAGGGAACAGAGACTCGAGGAGCCTGGCGCAGCAGGTCCTTTGTCACGCCAGCCACTTCACAGCCTCTCACTGAGCTCCCTGCTTCCACCTGCAGTTCAGGATGGGGGGACCCCAGCACGTCAATGGCCCAAATGTGCGCAGACGGGGAGACACCTCGGACGAGTCATCCCCCATTCGGGGCTGCGTGTGGAGGGGGCACAAGGTCCTTTCTCCAATCTCTGCATGGTCGGGGGGGTCGTGTCTTGGGAAGCAGCTAGGCCTCCCCAGGCCTGGAAGGGAGTGGGATTCTGGTCCACCGTCCCTTGTTTTGCCAGCAAGACTGAGACCCAGAGAGGTTCAGCAACTTGCCCAGGGTCACACAGCAAAGTGGTAACCGAGCAGACACCTGGCCCTGGGTCTCCCAATCCTTGTCCAGTGCGTTTCCCACCGCTCAGTGAGGACCCCTGGGCTTGGGTGCCATCGGGGTTAAAAACAGGAGCAGAGGGACAGGGAAGGCCAATCCTGTCACACCTGGGGGCGGGGCGGGGCGCGGAAACTACATCCAGAAACAGGTGAAGGGGAGGTGAGGTTGGCAGGCCTCAGGAGCCACCTCCTACTGCCTGTGAGCAAGTGCCCTGCCCTTCTGAGCCTCAGTTTCCTCATCCGTCCAGAGGAGACAACTGGTCCCCATGGCGGTGTGAGGGTTACAGGCGGTAATGCTTTTACAGCAGCCAGGCCCATCGGGGGCCAAGCAGCTATGTTTCCAATTTCCTATTGTCTCGTGGCTGAGAAGGAAGCAAAGGAAACCAAGAAATTCCATGAGTGAAGGAGAAAATTCCAGTGTTGAACAGGGGAGTGAGCAGCCAGGCCTCCAACCCCCTGATGACTTTCTAGGTTGTAAACAAGGAAACAAAGAGACCTGGAAGCCTCACGCCCCGGCCAAGGCAGGAAGCTCCTGGGTCTGATTCTGTCTCAGAGGGGCGTCCGATGAGGCCCGGGGCTAAATCACGCCGCTGGCATCTGGGTTACACACGGCCCAGAGCGTGCGCTAGGAGTCGGGGATGCACTCACGATGCGTCAGTTGCTGCCAGGAAGCGCGCTGCTTCCTCACCAAGTGTGGGCCTGGGAACAGGGCAGGGGGCTTAGCCGAGGGCCTCTGATGTCAGCGGCAGCGCCCCCTCGGATAGGAAGCCACACAGTGTCTCTGAACTGTTCCGGCTTTGACACTGAATGACCCGGGGATGAGTCAGAGGCGGGGAAAAGCCCCTGGCCACACAAAGGGATGGCCAAGGGGGCAAACATGTTCTGTCCATCTGGGGACCTAGATGGACATGTTGTAGGCAGCCCCCCCCCCCCGCCCCCGCCAACGTGGAGCCCAAATTCCCGCTTCAGCTGTAACAAAGCAGCGTTTGCCTTTTGCTCTGACTTGAAAGCCCTTTTAAGAAACAAGGGCAGCAATGCCACAGGCTGGGAAAGGGCGTTGGAAGCTTCTGAGGTTTCTCTCTGTTTTCAGGCCCCTCCCTCTTCTCATCTGGGAAAGCTCTGGAATGCGGACTGGGGGTGGGGGGTAACTTACACTTCTGTGGTTATGAATCCGGTGAGCTCCGAAAGGAAGAGGAAGAGAATGAAGAGGCAGCAGCAGATAGAGACTGGAAGAAACAACAGAGACGCAAGGTGAGGGCGCAGGGCACTGACCAGGCGAAGGCCCTGCCCTGGCCTCCCCGCCCCCTGCCCTCGGGGGAAAGCCCACCCCCGCAGCCTCCACAGCCCCTTCCTGCTCTCAGGCTTAGACTGAAGCTGCCCTGCTCCCCGAAAGGGAGCCGGGTACCGACTCACATGGGTCTGACCCTCCAGGTGGGCCAGGCCCCTACCAGGCAGAGCCCCCCAGGAGCCAGTCCAGCGTTCGTCCGCCAGAGCCCTCGGTTTAATGCAGTCAAAACCAGGTGGCCGCGTGGGGGCCAGCATATGCGTTCTGTTTGGCTTGAGGGGAACATACTTCAAAACATGGAGTCGGCACCGAACAATCTGGAGATTTCCTGTCGGAGCAGATTTCTGGCTGCTCCAGGGCACCCAGCTCTCGTCCCCTCAGGCGCTCTGAGCTCGCCAGTGCGCCACGGGCCCCACGGCTCCCGCCCGCCTCCCTGCTTCCCTGGCTGCGTGTCTCTTCTGTGTCTCACCACCCCCCACCCCCATGGTGCCATTGACATTGCGCCCGTGTCCCCATCAAAAGTAGGAAAATGAAGACAGTGAGCTCTGCACGTCCAGAGGAGGGACCGTTCTTTGTGGAGGCGAGGAGTGGCCCCCGTCTGAAACGCAGAGTGGGGGCGGTTCCAGGGCCGGCCCCTGCACGTGAAGGGGGCTCGGCTGCGCAGCGCTGCCCTCGCTCCGTGGTGCAGGACACAGCCAGTGTCCCAGGCCCATCGCCCAATGCCCCCCCCCCCCACCGCGTGCCACCACCCGGCCACGCTGAGCCATGGGCGGGCCCCTAACGTCTGTCCCTTCACGGCTGTGGTTCCGCTGCCCGGAATGGCTTTCCCATGTCCCCCCGCCTCCGCAGTTGCCTTCTCTGTGTGGCAAGCTCCTACTCATCCTTCCAGGCAAGGCCCCACTCACATGTCCCTTCTGGGGGGAGGCTCGCCCTGTCCCCAGGAGCGTGGCTGGTTCCTCTTTCCCCTGCGCTCCCAGCCTCTGTTTGGACACCTGCCACAGCTCAATGGTTATCTGGGGCTGCTTCTCGTACTAGACTGATATCCTGGAGGGCAAACTCGCCACGGCTCTCTGTTAGGCCTTTCATCACAGAGGCCTTGAAGGGCTTGGTGGTTTGGGGAAGGTGACGTGACAACTGGGCTGACCCTTCGTTTCCTGCAGAGAGAAAGAAAGTTCCCAGCCCCACCGGCTCCTTCTGGTACATTCTTGACAGCCGGCACTGGGACTGGTGTAGCCACCGGATGGGCGCTGAGACCGGTTACCACCACCATCCCCATTAGCCGTGGTATTGCTATTTCCATATCTGTCTGTCTATCTACGAATGGTCAAAGATGCATTCTGGAGGAGGAGGAAAGAGAACGAGTGTTTGCTGGGCGCCTACTGTGCACCCCGCCGAGGAAGCATGGAGAGACCTCTGGTCATTGCGCATTCCCGCTGGGTGGGGACGTGAGCCCCTGTGGAGGGCGGAGACAAGGAGGCTCTGGCTGAGGAGGAGACTGCCCCGGAGCCACACTGGGAGGGGACAAGGCTGGAATCTGTGCTCTCGAGAGCCAAGGTCCGAACAAAAAGAACCCCAGAGCTCCAGCTCCAAGCAAAGGGCCCAGGGATACCCCCAGAGTCCCCAGTGAGCTTCCAAAGCCACACCAAGACACAGAGGTTCCTAGAGTCACGCCCCAGTTCTTCCGAACTCTGAAAAAACGATTTGGGCAGCTTTAAAGGGGGTTACTTTTTCTTTCCCCCCACCTTTCGAAGAGGTAAGATAGGCGCAGGATAAGGAGTCAAGCTGCACTGACAGGCATATGGTGTGCGAGGCTCTTTCCCACTCCTGACCGCAGTCCCCGCGCCGAGCCAGCACCGTCACAGGCCTGTGCCCTTCCTGGCCCGGGAGCACAGATGTATAAAATAAAGACTTTTTCCCTCTAAGCAAACAGCAGCCTGAGGTGCCCCCGCCTTCAGCTGTGCTTGCCCACTCAGCAGTCTGTGTCCAAGCAGGTGCCACATCAGCTCGTACACAGCGCCCACATTTGTTTGTTTGCTCGTTTGTTTTTATGGCCTGGAAATGAATTTCTAATGCCTTCTCCAGCTGCTGAGCAAATCCGTCGCAGGCAACAGCCCAAGTCTCCCAGCCCACGTCCCTCCCCTTGCCACCTGCGAGCTGCAGCGGTGACGGAGCAGGCCCTGCACCCCTCACCTGGCCCCCGCACTGTTTCTGAACAGCATCACATCGCGTGGGACCCGTTCTTCAGAGAACCCCCGCGCCACCCCCCACAGCCCCAGCAACCGCAGGATGCTGCAGGGACGACCAGGCCCGAAAGAAGCAGGTGCTTTTGAAGGTCCATGCTGACTTAGGTCTGTCAGGGTCTCCTAGCTGCCCTCCTTGCCTCCAGCCTGCAAAACGGGCCCCCAAGTTCGCGCTCTGTCCAGATCGGAGGAGGACCGCAGGGCCGGCAAGGCCTCTCTCCGAAACCCGTGTGCTTTCTTCAAGGCTCTGAGGAAGCCTGGTCACCCGGCAGGTGGGCGCCAAGAGCCCCAAGTCTGCTTGGCTGAAACCCAAGTCTCCCACAGCCCTGACCACTCGAGCTCCGTGTCTGCTCCCCTCACCCTGTCCCCAGACTGGGGGGACAGAGACTGCGGATCAGCACCACTGTGGCCTCAGGGTCTAACATGGTGCCCGGTGCAGAGGAGACATAAAATAAACCTTTGCGGAATAAGTGAATGAGAAACACGAAGGCCAGGTAGGAGGTATTTCAGCCAGAAAGGCCTTCTGATAACTGAAGGCTCGACGAGGGATTTTTCAGTCCATGTTTGGGCAAGAGGCTGCGGCTCTGACCCCAGACTTCTTCTGAGACTGACGCAGGCCCGGACAGTAGGAATGCAGCCCCAGGAGAGTGCTGGCGAGTGGGCGACCTGGTGCAGCCAGCCAAGGGGGCACTGGGCCTGAGACCCAAGACTCCGGGAAGCCAGCGAATTTGTCCAAAGCCACACGGCTGCTTCAGGGGAGGAGGCAGAATCCAAACCCAACCCATGCGTCTCCGGCGCCCTCGCTGGCTTCTTCAGTTATTAATAGCACTTATCACGAGGCAAGGAGATGTTTCTGCGTCTGCCGCCGCGCACTCCTCCAAGACAAAGACCAAAGGCCATTCATCAACACGTTCCCAGTCTTTCCACGGAGCCGGGGTTAATAAGTATTTGTTCACTAAATGCAGCTTAGGGCTGGCTGCCCAGGCCTCACGCCTTCCCTCGCGTGTAAGGAAACTAGCTGCCAGGCACGCGGTGAGCATACTCGGTGGGAGGGCAGAGCGTACCACGTCCCTGGAGGGCCGTGTGGCAGTCCCTGCTCAATTTTACAGCACGCAGGCCCTCTGACCCAGTCCTTCCTCTTCTGACGAAGTTACCTTATGGAAATAACCCTACCAGCGTACAAAAAGATACAGACAAGGATGTCTGTCCACCCTCCATGGGCTGCTCACATCAACAGTGGGTCCCCCAGATAACATGAGAGGACACAGCTGGAAAAAAGACGGTGGTGGCCAATTATGTGCTGGTATGATGGCGTCCGGGACATGTGTCCAGCTGAAAGAGAGGCCGGGAAGATGGTGTGCACAGCCTCTGTGCGTCTGTGTGGAAAACAAAGACAGACGTACGCACAAGCCTGACGATACATATACCGAATTCTAGAAGGACACGCATCTGCAAGCTGAACACACCGGCACGGGCGGGGCTGTGCTGTCAGCTGGTGTGGGCAGGGGACAGGCCAGGTGTGGAGTTTTGGGCCCATGTTCATGACATAGTTGAACAGGCAGCCAAACAAGGCCCCGAACATCCTTTCCGTGGGGATCAAGGCACCAAGCGCCACAGCTTCTGCAGTCACGGACCCCTGTGGGCCACGGGCTCCGGGCAGTGGTTATCAGCCGCCAGGCGCCGAGGACTTGGCACGTGCCCTGCCCTTGACAGGTGTGATGCCCTTTAACACCCGGGTCAGGAAACTGAGACTCGAAGAGGACAGGTGACCGGCCCCAGGTCACCCAGCTGCTCAATGGGAGGGCGAACCCCGTGCTGCCGGACCCAAGAGCTTGTCCCCTTCCCTAGAGGTGGGGAGACTCGGGACTTGAGAAGGCAGCCACAGCATCAACGAGCCAAGGTGGAGGGAGGAGGGAGAGCTGGGCAGGGCCCGCCAGGGTGGGGGGTCCCTGAGGTCATCCCCTCCCTGATGACAGCCCGTCTTGAGAGGCCACCGTGGACTCCGACCCGTGCGCCTGACCCCGGGGGACAGTCCGTGGGGGAAGGTCCCCTTCCCATACTGAGCTCTGGAGAGGCCGGGGGTGCAGGAGGCCCATTGAGTCCCCGTCTGGCTCTCTGACTTGTGAACTGTGACATATCACGCTCAGGCCATCTTCTCCTCTGAAAAATGCGGTTAAATCACGCCTGCCTGCATAGCACTTTCGGTTTGTTTTGACTTTTCCTAGATAAACTTTTTACTGTGGAGTAATACTGGATACAAAGACGGTACAGGAAGTTCCCCCCACTCTTCTCTGAGCTTCCCCTTATGTTAACATCTGGTAGGTCTGTCTCAGGGAAACAGTGACATTGTCCAGTACTATTACTAAATAAGCGACGGACTTAGATCACCAGTTTCCCCATCAGCGACCTTTGCCTGTGCCAGGAACTGATCCAGGGCCCCACTTCACATTCAGCCACCACGTGTCCTCGGTTTCGAATCTGTGACAGCTCCCCAGCCTCTCCTTGGTTTTCAGGACCTGGCCACTTGTGAACGGTGCTCCTCAGGGTCCTGAAGGATGTCCCCCAGCCTGGGGCTGTCTGACATTTTCCCGTGATTAGACTGGCTTGGGGTTCTGGGGGAGGATCTCCGGCAGACGGGGGCCCTCCCCCGCGGGGTACGCGACACCCACGAGACATCTCTCTCGCTGGCCGACGCTAACCCTCATCCCTCAGTCAAGGTGGTGCTCCAGGCGTGTCCAGTCACATCACTATTCCCTTTCCATTTTCATCCCTTTAAAAGCAAGTCACTAAGTCCACCCCGCACTCCAAGAGAAGAGAGTTAAGCGCTAACTCCTGGGTGGGGACATACTTGTATATATTACCTGGAATTCTTCTGTAAGGAAGCTTCCTCCCTTCTCCCCAATTTATTTAAATCAGTATGGACTCACGGGCCTTTTCTTAACTCTCTGGGCAAGAAGTTGATAATCCCATCGTTTATTTTGTTGCTCAAACCGCCCCACCTGCTGCCTCTGGCCTCTGCCTCCCCGCGGCTCCCGTCAACTGACACACCCCAGCTTTGTTTCTTCCCTCCAGGCTCCTCTTCGCCTTCAGGCCCACAGGCCGTCCCAGGCTTATTTTGAACTCTTGTTCCCATTTCTCCACGGAGTTCTGTCCTTTCACTGAATAGTATTTAGGACCCAAAATCTGAGTGACTTTTTAGTTTTTTAAAAGGTTAAAAACATGCTTATGTCAAAAATGCAAACAGTCTGAAAAGTCTGGAGAGAAAAGTGAGTCTCTCCCTGATCCCTGAGCGCCCAGGGCAGCCACTATTGATGACGTCTGGTTCTCCTTTCAGACACTGGGTGCTGACAGGTTAGGGTGGGGGAGAGGGGAAAAGCTCTGTGCAGGGAGTTTGCATAGAGGTGGGGAGGGGCAAGAGCAAGAAGGGGTTACTCACTAATGGCCCCGGTGTATGTCGGCTGCGTAAGGTCCTTGGGCACCTTCCTGTAGATGTCAAACCTGCGGAGAGCAAAGGGGACAGCGGTGAGGCGGGCACAAACGGCTGGTCGTGGGCAGCAGGGGACGTGGTGTGGCTGGTGGGCCACGTGGCTCAGCAGTCACGCCTCTTCCCAGAACTGGCTCCACCAAGAGGCCCGTGGGAACCCCCGCTGTGATGGGACCCCCCCACCCCCACACCGCCCACGCCTGCTCAGGACACCTATTGGCACCTGAGAGGACCCTGACCCCCATTTAGTCATGTTTCTCGGCTGGCCTTTCCCCATCAGAAGGTCACCCCCATGAGGGCAGGGAGCTGGTGACATCCCCAGACCCTGGCATGGGCCTGGCGCAGAGTGGGCCCTCAACAGGCATTTGTGGGAGGCACTGAACCCCCCTCCTGAGTGAGTGCGGGGCTTCCCAGACCTTGAGGAGAAGAGGGAGATGCAGTCTTTCCTAAGAGCGAGGTGTCTCCTCTCTGCCTCACCTCCAGTCCCCACTCCCCATGCCCCCCGCGCCCCCCGCCCCCCAGCCTGCTTCTTACAGGTTCTTCTTAACCCCAAGGCGCGATGGGACCCTAAAATCCTGCCCCCAGGGCCACCGTCATGTGATGGCTCTGGCTGTTTGTAATGCGCGTGCCTAGGGCCCCCATCAGAGCAGATGGGGCTGCGGGGTGTGGCAGAAGGGTCTGGGCTTGGGGACTCAGGCAGATTCCATGGGTTTAAGTCTGGCCAGCTGTTTCAGACTTAATGCCCTGAATCAGACTGCCCTGGGTTCAACGCTTGGCTGGTCTTCCTCGCTGTGTGACTTTAGGCAAATAACTTCACCTCTCTGTGCCTCAGTTTCCTTGCCTGTAAATCATGGGGCTACTGCTCCCAGACCTGCCAGCTTACTGAGAGGAGGAAGGTACAAGCGCCTGGCAGATCTGACATGGAGCGTTCACAGGGGAGGCTCCTCACGTCCTTGGCTCTCTCCCCTGCCCTTTGCCCTGAGCGGACAGCTCTACCGACAGAGCTCCAAGTCCACACACCAGGCTCCCAGGCTCCGGGGTTGGAGCCTGCCGCGGTAACGAGCCGCTGCGCAGGTGACAGGCTGGCGTGCAGTTCCCTTAGGTGGCCGGGAAACAGCTAGCGCCCTGCTGACCCACTGCAATGATTTAGAAGTCTTGCGTAAGCTCTGATACTTGACTCCTGTGTGCTCACTCTTATGACACATGAACTGTGCTAACTTCCTCAGGCCTCAGGGGAGAGCCAGGTCCCTTGGGCTGCCAAGGTAAAAGGTACCACTTTCTCTCCTACCTGCTCAGCCAGGCTCTTGGGCCCCGGAGGGCACCAGAAACTGGGGCTGCAAGTGTGATGGGGGAGGGCGGGGGGGGGGGGCGCGGTATAGCCATGTGACTCAGCCGCCCATACCTACTCGCCTCCCTTACCTGGAAAATGCTGACCCCTTTCACGTGAGAGACTTATGAGAGGAAAGAGCAGCCACTGCAGGGTCAGCCTGCCTGGGCTCAAACGTCCCTTACTTAACCTCCCTGTGCCTCAGTTCCGCAACTGTAAAACGGGGCAACAGTCGTAACCATCCCACTGATAGGGGTTGGGACCAGAGTTTGAGCATGTAAAGTGCTTTGAGCCAGCCTGGCGCCCAGGAAGCGTTATTTGAATACTGCTGTTACTATTAGTGATGCGCATCTGAGTATCATTTATGAGCACCTACTATGTGCTGGGTGCTCTATTAGGCACTAGGATATGGAGACAAAATCGGCCCCCAGTGCCTGTGGGTTAGCAGCAGAGACAAAGGAAATGGAAAGAGAAGGCAGTGGGGGTGGGGCGGGGGGCGGGCTCCACCACGGGGTCATCTGGAGGGGCCGGGGAAATCCAGGAAGCTTCCTGCAAGCGGTGGCATCTGAGCAGAGCAGGAGGATAAGAGGAAGGTGGGTGCAAGCAAAGAGTAGCCCTGGTAGTAAGAACGGCCAAAGCAGAGGCCGAGAGAAGGGCTGATCCTCGTGACGGAGGCCTTGTTCACCTGCAGGTGGTACTAGGCTGGGAATGGAGGCAGCCGTCCCCACCCCCGGGAGGGGGAGGGGCTTGCATCCAGCTTCCCTGTCCAGTTCATCCCAGTCACCATCCAGGGCCTGCAGGCCAAAACTGGGCCTCACGGTTTATGGGCCTCACGGTTTAAAAAGCACATGAGCCATCATTTCAACACCGGGAGTTTTGCGGGAAGTCAGAGGCTGCCCAGGGTGGCAGGTGGCGGTGGCCCGGGGCCTTGGTAAGGGGGAGGAGGGCGAGGGGGGTGCTGTTACATACAGGGGGACCGATCAAATCGGTGGACGCAGTGAGGGGGCGGGGCCAGGCGCCTCACTGTCACAGAGGGACAGGGCGAGAAGCAGAATAAACCCTGGGGCGGTGGCGCGGAGACGGAAGAAGTGCTGGGATTCACAGGCTTCAACACACACAACACAGAAATGCCCCTGGGGATGCAGACACAGCACATACACGTACGCTTCCCAGCCTGTTCCACAGCAGTGACAGACAGACAACAGACGCACCTGGCGATGAAACCTTGGCTTCTAAATATCACTCTTTACTCAGAGAAATCAGCTTTTTGGAGAAATGGCTAATTCTAGGGCTGGGCAGGGAAAATACAAGATGAACTTGGAGCATCATCTTATGCCAGAAAGCCAGAAAGTATTCCAAGAAGGAAGGGGATGTATCAAAAGGACAGGAAGCCGCTTAGAGGGGCTCCCACTGGCCAGAGAAAGGACGATGTGAACACTCCAGTCAATAATCACAGTACGAGGTTATAACCCACCGGATAAAGCAGGAGGCCCAGGATCTATGTGGACAAAAAGAAATCTGTAAATCAGACATTCGAGGAGCAACAGGACATCCCCATCCCTCTTTAGTCCCTCCCCACCAAGTCCTTGCTAATTACAAAAGGAAAAAGTGTGACTTCACAGGGGAGAAACTTAGCAGACATCGTGACCAAGCGACCAAGTGCCCGTCACCAGGGAGGAGACGTGTCATGTGCCTCCTGATGTGCCGTACTGGGGAGGGCGCACAGCGCTCCTGGGGAGATCTGAGGGCTCCAAAGGCACACCCTCAAGTGACTCATGAGAAAACAGCAAACAAATCCAAACTGAGGGTCGTGTTTCACAGCGACTGGCCAGCCCTCGTCCAAACGACCCAGGTCAGGAAGGCCCGTGGAGGCGAAGGCACCATCCGAGACTGGAGGAAGCGGAAGAGAAGCCACAACCAAGTCCTGCAGGGTGTCCCAAATCAGGAAAGGACAGCAATGGGACAACTGCCGGGATCTGAATTAGATCTGTAGATTAGTTCCAATACAAATACAGTGTTGTTTCCTTGGCTTTGATAATGGTATCTAGTTACCCAAGATGTCAACATTTGAGAAAACTGGGCAAAGGGCACATGGGAAGTTTTTGTATTATGTTTGCCCATGTTTTGCAAGTAAAGTGAAAAGTTAAAAAAGTTTTAACTTAATAGAAAATTAAAAAATCATTTTAAGGGGGAGATATCACGTGCAAATCCCACCCAGCCTGCTCTCTTCACAACTGCCGGACCCCGTAGGCGTCTGAACGTGAAGAGCTGGCTCAACAAACGTTTGCTGAGTGTACCTGGTGTTCAGGAGAGCATGTCTTCATCACGGGTGGGAGAGGGAGGAAGGCTAGGTGAGCAAAGGTCTAAGGGAGGGGGTTAGACTTGGGCCAAACTACAGGAGGCAACGGCTAGCCAAGGAGGCAGGTGCTCTGGAAAGAGTGAATGACATCAAACCAAGATCACTGCCAGCCCATGCCAAGCTGCTTAACACACACATTTGGATTCGATGTTCACAATAACCCTGGCAGACATTGATATCCCATTTGCCCAGGGAGAAGACAAAGTTTAGCTATAAGCAACTTGCTCAAAGTTGTTGGGCCCGCGATTAGCAAAGCTGGGATTCAAATCCAAGTCCAACTCCATAGGCCACGGACCTTCCACCGCCCTGTATTTACAGGAATCCGTTTAGAGCTCAATTACTGGTATTTCCAAGTCTCAAGGTTTTATTTGCTTTTCCGAAGATGCTGCCTCAGAGGCAGGTGGGGGTCTCCCAGAAGACAGGGACCCGTTCAAACACACTGACGCGTTCAACAGATATTCACCAAGGACCTGTCGGCAGTGCTTTCGACGGCGGGAAAATGAAAGTGGTCAAGGTAGACACAGCCCCTGCCCTCGGCAGCTGCTAGGCCACCAGTGTCTTTGGCTCCCTGTTTAGGACCACCGCAACAGAATGTTCTCTAGTAACGACCCCATTCCCGTGCCACCAAACGCAAGCTGGAGAGCCATGGTAGGACACAAGGAGAGGTGAAAAAGACCCTGGTTCAGAGCTGACCACAAGCCGCGTGAGTCAGCAGTCAATGTCACTGAGAAAACGGGCCACAGGGAAGACAGTGAGAACCCAGGCATGTGACAGACCAGGAAGTGAGCCGTCCTCTTGGGCTCCTATTAGTCAGTCCCTCGCTGCGGTGACACAGTGATGAGATAGATGAGCTGTGACCACTCACTGTCAGAAGAATGTGGAAGAAAGGGCAAGGCGAATGGGGAAGGGGAAAGGGACGCTTACTTCGTGCACACCTAGAGGATGTGCTCATGCCAGGCCTGTGACCAGCAGGTGCTCATCCGATTTTCTTGGCCAACTCACAAGGTAGGGCTTGTGAACCCATTTTAGAGAGGAGGCCCAGCGAGCCCGGTGACGTAGCTAAGCTTGCACGCCTACAAAGTGCCACAGCGAGGGGTGGAATCCAGCCCCAATTTCAGGTGGAAAATATTTCTTAGGAAGGAAGGTTAAAGTACTGGAATGGCTTGGCCTCGAACCGAGAAAGATAAAGGATGGATTCTTAATGGTTGTCACATGAAAAATGCCTGTTCTCTGACCTCCCACAAGACTGTGAGTTTCTCAAGGGCAGGGCCTGGGTCCCCCTGCCACCCACCCCTGCCCTGCCCGCACCAGGTCCTGGGGGAACTAAC